AAACATTAATCTCTAAGACTACATTTATGTCGGTGACCCTAAGAAACCTACCACGTTTTGACTCTTAGTATTTTTGGCGCTTTTCAACGTTCCTAGTCAGCGGACACTTTCTGTATACCCGCGGTTACAAGCTAGATTACAAAAGGCGGCCATCGAAAACTTACAGTCATGTGTTTGGCCGAGTTCGGTGATGAATCCGAATTCTGACAGGTTTGCACGTGTTTTTTTCTTGGAAAAATAACCCTCCGTTTTACTGCATTTTCGTGCCCAATATGTCTACTGTCTTCCAGATTACCAGTCCGTTCTAGAAGTCAGACACTTATGAGGAACCGAAGATTTACCACTTATGGTTGTATATTTCCTTATGTATCGGACTATTTAGTACAAAAAGTGGAGGGATTCTTGAGTTTTGACCGGTTTTACTTATTTCTTTCTTTGAAGTGGGTTCTTTTTTGACGTAGTGGTGACTCAAGAGGTGGATGAGTGACCTTCCGTTAGATAAATGGAGCATTAGAAATTCGTGTTGGATATCGTGCTCGTGGCACTGTTTCATTTTCTCACCCTCCATCAACTTACAAGCTCTGATCCTCACATAGAGAACACGTTCAATAAGTCATGGACGATAATTTGAAGAAGAATGTAAATGCTACGAGATAACAGCCTAATAAAGTATATAACATTTACGGAGTAACCGCAAATACTGACTGGACGTTGGTCTACATCCATTGAAAGCCAAACATTGGACGAAACAGTAATTCTCCTCTGGGCTGCGGAAACTGGACGAACGAGTTTTGGTTTGGTGTGTTGATTAAAGTAACGTTCTTATGGAGACTATTTTGAACGATACGAACGAATTATGGGTGCTTTTAAATTCCTCATATACTCTGTCGAATTACCACATTGATAAAACGTTAAAAATGAGTGTGAAATTAGAAGTATGTTTTGAATCGTACACTTCATAATTTACACAAACAGTAGGCAAATAATAAGGAAACGAGGAGTGTGAAATGTGACATTTAGATGAAGTCGGAAAAGTAAAGGTCGAACCAGACTTTATTTAGGACGGACTGTACACAAACTGCATATATTCAGTTAAGTTGTATCTGACAGACATTCAAAATTCTGGCCTTCATAGAAATCATATTGAGGTAATGGTTGTATTTCATCAACGTAGATGATCTATGTCAAATAATTGGAAGCCTACTCGAGTTAGGTGGGAATAGTGTGACCAACAGCTAATTTCGAAGTCACATCTCGCAGTCATCACCTAACGTGTATCACCCTTTCGTCGTGTGAAGATACTATAGGTGGTTGGAAGACCATACAACACAAAGGGCTTTATTACAGAAATATATTAGTTAGAGTGGGTACAAGCGAAAGTTCAACCACCACCGCATGGGTCAGACCATGGTTAGTGATCAACTGATGCGCGTTGGTTGTCCGCGACCTTGACAAGGATCGATGAAATGTTCCACATTCAGTGACTCAACTGCCGCATGAGCTGGATAGGGCTCAGTGAATTTCACTAGCCATACATGGTGAACAACTAACAAGGACAGATACATGAGTTTAATAGTACAAGCTACGTTAACGCTATAGTCAATATGGATACAATATAGAGCTAGAAAGTCTGTCTGACATAATTTGATTATCTGATTTATTCTCTTACGAACGCGCTTTTGGATACATGGTTATGAAGTGAGAATGTAAGTGATATGTGGCGACTGAACACGAAGATTGATAAGGTAGAGGCATAATTTTTTTTCTCCGCAACCATTTGACTAATTGTGGCCTACAAAACTTAACGCGTGCTAAATAAAAGGACAGTGGTATTTTTCTTCGCTGAGTGTATTCTATTGTTTTGATCGTTTATTACGTATCAAGACTACTGTTTTCACTGAATTTATTTCAGTTAAAGTATTCGATCAGATTGTCGTTTCGCTTTCTAAAGTAGTTTGTCGTCGGTACTTTTAAGTATTTTTTTCCATTGCATCTATTAGTACTTTCGGTTCTAACAATCTACAGTTTTCCACTTTTTTGGACATAAATCATTTTTGCTTCTGAGTATTATTGCATCTACTTTTTTTTAAAAAGACTCCTGTTTGATGACTGGACAGTGCAAAAAAAGTAAATGCCAACATCCAGGCTGTCGTCATCCCATTGAAAGCAGCATGCAGTGCGATGAGTGCAAAGGCTGGTACCACGAAGTTTGCACGAACTTAACGCCTGCGGCTTTTAAACGGTTCAGTAAAAACGGTTGCGTATGGCTCTGTAAACAGTGCTGTTCGGATGTAAACGGCTCGCTAACCGAGGCGATCTCATTTGTAAATGCAGCAAAAAAGTGTTTTGGAAAGCGTGATTTGAACGCATCGGGCAGTACTCGTTCTGTCAACACGCAAATTGGTGTAAAGTAGACTCAAGTGAGCTCGGAAACAGCTGACTCACATCGACCAAAGGAGGAAAAACAGTCTACAAAGCGGTCTGTCTCAACGAAAAACTCAAGAAAAGAAATTTCTTCTGTCCTCCGTCTTCTAAATGGTATCCAGCAGGGAACGCCTAGAAGCCGCAAATGCGAAGCTCGATCGGTTTTTAGCGGGAAACATAACCTGACCTCCCAAATCGTCGACAACCTTCCGGAATCCCACAGTGTGTTTGACGCGACTGTGGCTGCTTCTTCAAGCAACGTTGACCATTGGGTACAGGTTGTAAGGATGAAACATCATGACGATATAAAAGGGAATCCTGTCCACATAAAAGTGGTCGAGAAATCGAAGGCTGAATACAGTGACAGCTCATTTGTTTTTTATAGAATCAAGGAGAGTGAAAGCTCTGAACCAAAAACTCGTTTTGAGCATGACATTGTGCAAATTGACTCTACAAAGCCAGACATAATCGCAGTCACACAAACCTGGCTGACACAGTCTATAGATAGTATGGAACTTCATTTCGATGGTTTTACGTTAGTAAGTGCTGACAGAATACAAAAGCGTAAAGGAGGGTGAGTAGCTCTGTTCATTAAGAATGCTATCCCACTCACCATTATCGACAGTGAATTCCATGAGAGTGGGACGTGTGAATTAGTTAGTTGCCGCTTGAAATATAAGGCAAAAGAGTTGCTGATTGGTTTTGTCTATCGCAGTCCAAGCTGTGAGGTAAATGAGATCCTGTTAAGTAGTCTCAATACTTGGAAAGGCTCAAGTCTTCACAAGCTACATTAGCAAAGTATATACCGTCGAAGCTCCCTTCCCGTCAGCTCATAGAAATCCCCTCATACATACACTGGATAGCGTGACCATTAAAGAACTCCATGTCTTAGGTCTGCTAAATAGGCTTAACATGGGTCAATCCACGGGACCCGATGGATTGTATTCTAGGCTACTGAAGGAATTATCTAACTTCGTTGCAAGCCCTTTAAGTACATGCTTTAACTTATCCGTTACGCAGGGTCATTTACCAAAAGACTGGAAAAACGCCATAGTAAGTTTTGTCTTCAAAATAGGTACGAAACACAAAACTGAGAACTACCGCCCCGTTAGCCTAACTAGTGTGGTTGTTAAAATCTTAGAAAAGATTATTCGGAAGAAGCTGTTTAAGTATCTCGATAAAAACCGGATCCTCTCGGAGAAGCAGCACGGCTTCAGAATAGATTATTCTTGCCTAACTAACTTATTAGTGGCTCGTGAAAGCTGGTGCGCTCTTAAGGACTAAAAGCTACCTGTAGACGTCGCCTTCATCGATTTCAGTAAAGCTTTTGACAAAGTTCCGCACAACCGGCTGTTATACAAATTAAGAAATGTCGGGATCGGAGGCAATTTATTGATGTGGATAAAAGACTTCTTAGTTGGGCGTGAACAAAGAGTAGGGATGAACCCAAAGTTATCTAGCTGGGAAACTGTGCTTAGTGGAGTGCCCCAGGGTACAGTTTTGGGGCCAGTGCAATTCCTCTTGTATGAAAATGACCTTCCTTGTCTCCTATCATCATCGGTCTTGCTATATGCTGACGATGTCAAGAGATGGAGAAAGATACGATGTAAGAGTGATAGCCTAGAACTTCATAATGACCTGAAGAAGTTATCTGAATGGTCTCAAACCTGGCAGTTGTCGATAAATATTTCCAAGTGTGTTGTGATGCATATCGGTCATCAAGGTACAGATACATACACGATGGATAACACTGAGCTACCTGTCGTCCAGGCATATAATGACTTAGGAGTTATCGTTAGTCAAGACTTAAGTATTACTGCGCACTGCCATGCAATATCCGTCAAAGCTTTTGGAACTTTATGGTCAATACGTAGGGCTTTTGTTCATGTCGACGCTAAAACGTTTTCGACTTTGAATACAGTGTTCGTACGTCCTAAACTTGAGTACTGCATACAAGCGGCTAGCCCCTGCTTAAAAAAGGACAGTGAGCTTCCGGACAAGTTTCAGGGAACAGCAACTAAGCAGATTCCCGGACTAGCAAAGCTTCCGTATGATGCTCGACTGGCTAAGCTAAACCTTTTTCCGAGGCGGCTTGATTACAGTTTTCAGATTGTTTAGTGATAAATTTTCACCTAATATGCCCTCATTTTTCTTGTCTTCCAGAACAGAGAAGTTATGATGACACTCCAAAAAAGTTCACAAGCCCAAAACAAATTACTTGTCAGCTGACTATCGACTTTCCCATCGAATCATCAACGAGTGGAATTCATTACCTTAACACGTGGTTGAGGCTCCATCCGTCGATTCTTTCAAAAGGAAGTTGGATCGACTGAGAGACCACCATTGCTAAGACTTACACAGGCCATCAAGCCTCTCGTTCTTTCCAAACTGAAATTGAAATGTTGAATTGAAATGTTAGACAAATGACATAAGAATACGGATTACTAAATAAAAGTACAACAACATATCACACAATCAGGAAAATTGAAAAAAAATGTCGCTTTCACGAAATTAAAGACTTTGTCTTTTTGTGTTGTTTGAATCCTTTACTGTGGGTTGTGCTTTCAGGACGTATTGTTAACTAATATGGCGCTATCTATAAATCAAGAAGAATATTGTAATTGAGTTAAGTGGGATGTTTGATGCTGTAAGTTTACGTTAAAGATATGGAAAACGTGTCAAACAACTTGGCATGTCAAACAAAACCTATCTTACATTTTTAATATTACTTTATTGTTTTTTAAAAAGGTTAAACAGGTTACAATGTACACAAGTTTTTTGTATTCGTAAATGCTTATATCTTTCATTTATCAGTCTAAATAGCACCCGATTTAGTCACAAAAAAACTGTAAAGTCCGCAGGATTTATAGTTAAGTGTCATTTGCCAAATGTTCAAAACGTCTCTAGTGAATCTATATAAGTTGTACAAGAGGAATTAAATCTTTGAGCAAACTGTTTTGATAACAACTTGTGGTTTATGGGAAACGCTTTAATTGAATGCATTTGACTATCGTTTGTAGTCAGTTGAGAATGTTTTACTCACCCTTACATTATGTAAACATTGGCACTCCAATACTGAAACGAAAATAAGGTTGTGACTAAAGTCTCGTTTATTGGTGACGGGCGAACAAAGACAGTTCAGCCGCTTACCGTTGTGCGGCTGCGGAATTTTGTAACTACTACGTATTGCAACAAACTTGACAGATGGAGTTCTATTTCTCGCATCGAGTGGAGAGTTGCTCGAATTATCAGCCTGTAGTGTCAGTTATTATGGCAAGCCCATATACCTTATTCTAACTTCCGGACATCCTATTTTATTCATTTTACTTGAGCCATATTTTGACCTTGTTAATTATTCGCTTATAAGCCTTGACTGTTTTCATATGAGCGTATATGTGTGTACACTTCATATCCCATGATTCATCACATGTCTGTAGTTTATTTTGTCTGCCTATAAATACTGAGTAACGCTTAATTAAAATGGAGTTGGCTTCTCAGCCATCTTCCATACGTGTGATTTTTGCTTTGCTGTGCTTCATTCGCTTCATGTACAAAATATATGTATTCACAAATCAATTCTCGTTATTCGACTTATTTAATTCCGTTATGGACTAACGCGATTCAAGTCTACGATGATAAATGAGAATAAGCGATAGCAAACACTTATACGATCTTGGAGTCAAAACTACGGGCCACCACCACAAGCCGGAGTGCTTAATATCAACATATTAGGTTGACTCATCCACAGAGGGACCAGATCTTTACAGTGCTATACGTTGAAAGAAACAATATTGGTCGACTGACCTCTGATTCTTGCCAGTGAAGACGGAAGACCACTGAAGACCATAAACCTCGACGTGTTGTTTTGAAGGACATAGTGTCGAATTTTTTTCGTTGTGTCTAAATACTCTTGTGTTGGTTCAAAGCAGATCTAAACCTTCCTAATTTATCAGCTAATGTGCTCCTCATGTGGTTTTTCGACTTCAATTACTTTCGTTCTAAGTTTCGTATGAATGTTCATATTGTTTTAGTCGGCTAAATGAAGTTAAATACCTGTTTAATTATCTACAAACAATTAGAAGTTTTAACTGGATATAAGTAAAGTTTGAATGTATCAAGGAAACGTCCTATAAATTACCGTCAGCGAGACACTAGGTTTTCAACGAATTTCGATAACGTTGAGATCATTATCCAGTTTCTATACTCTCATCGTTACTTCAGACTATATCTTTTGTTTATAGTATTTAGAGGACTTGTTCACATCTCGTTCGTTCAAACTATCGCAAAATTTTCGTCAACCTTGAAGAGTTGGTGCCTGACAAAGTCTCTCCTCTGGTTCAGAAATTTCGTTTAATTTTTGGTAGCTAGTGCCACTTTCGTTGAAGGCGAGACAATCATCTGCCAACTAAAGAACGATTTTACCTCTCATCAGCCCCCTTGTTCTTTATTGACGTAAAAAATTGGCCTTTATAAATAAAGAACATTCAAAATTCGCTAGGGTTTGGTCACGAGTGTCATTAAACGAGTAGTGATGAGGTTATATATGGAGCCCTAACCAACAATGGAAAATCGGTTGGTGAGATGATTAGTGTTCGCCGACTTAGGTGGTTAAGATATGTACCAATTTTGCTTACAAACTGTCTACCTAGACATACGACGTTTATTTTTGTAGGGACAGGTTAAAAAAGCCAGGGGAAACAAATCAAGACATGGAGTCAGTCCATAAAGTCGTCGACCGTTGATCTGAGCCATGTTGGTAGATACTGACTACTTGGTTAGGATGTGATTGACTACTATAGCCAATGGTCAGAGACTTTAGGTTAAAAGGCTTGAAATCACTCAAAGGGAGGCAGATGAGTGTAATCTCTATCTTTCGTGTCATAATTTCTTTATGTCTACTTTTTTACTCCCCGTTTTCGAATCATATTCTTGACTTTTAGTTCATCCCACCATTATTATTATATTATCCGGCGTCTTATATTACTCATCTTGCTAACTTCCTTCTGATATGGCTTAGACGACTACACAAGCGAACGAGGTCACATTTTGATGATACTTGCTTGTGCTGTATTCTTCATGCAGAGAATTTTTAAATCACAGCACCTTCATGTTTTGTTAAGTTGTTCTAGGTCTCACATAGCGCTTCCTATTGAAGTTGATGTCTTGGACGTTTTATGAATTTTCTTCAGACCGAATTACGTAACAGACAGTTTCAACCACATATACAGTTTAGATAAACAATTCAAACTAGCTAAAACACTTCACATGTAATGCAAGTAAACACTCAACCGGTTGTTTTAAGTTTAAATATAGGTACACATTGCCAAAAATACTCTACTGTGCTCCTTAATTGTAAGCGATTATCACTAAAAAGGTTCATTTACTATGTAATTTGGTATATTTTTAGAAGTCGTGTCTTGATTTACGGGTGGTATTAAGTAATAAGAATCATGTGAGTTTTCAAAAGATGAGTATAGATAACTCGTATTACCACCATCTGTATGATACTTTAAAGATAAAATAGTGCATTCAGATTCTGGTGGATTGAGTTGTCTGAAGAAAAAAAATATTGCCAGATATGGGTTTTGGTACAAATTTGATCAGCGTCTGTGTATAAGTCATAAGGCCTCGAGTTTTTCGTTATGCTGGCCTATTTATCGTCTTTTGGTGAGGCTAGGCAACATATGTATGTATATGTCCATATTCCTTTGGTAAGATGTTGATAAAAGTCGTTTGTCTTTTGTAGATTAATTATTTTGCATTTCTTTGTGTAACAGTGTCCTTTGAATAATAGGTCTTGTATTAGGATATTATTCATTAAGTAAAATTCTAAGCATAATTATTTACCTGATGGGACAAGCTACTTATTGGAATGCCTGAAGAAATTCCTAGGAAATGAAAGAAATACTTTACTACAGGGAGATGTTTTTACGATTATCTACCATAAATCATGGTGAATAATACCAAAACCAAGTTATATACCTCCTCTCATGATTCCTTAAAGCAGTATCGAGTACGAACGACTGGCAGTTATTATTGTATGAAGGCTGGATAGTAGATGTGAGTATGAGAGCCTTGAGCAGTTGAAAATTAACCACAACGGACTCGCTTATTTGAAATACATTCTGTTACTGATCATTACAGGAAAATCCAATTCAAAGTATCAATGATTCTGCATTCTTATATGTTGCAAACTATTTGAGAAGACTGCTTATGAGCAAAGATGAAATCTTTGTTTGTATGTCATAACTGGAAAAGTAAAAACAGCCCTTATAATCTCGAAACAATTTAAATTTTCGCTAGAATTTCGCTTTCAAGACCGGAGCATTTGTATCGTAATATGTAACTCACACCTTGGCTTGATGAGGTTACATTTCACGTAAAGTTTACTGTAAATTAGAATAAAACATAATTATGCCATATAATTTCGGAAATGAAATGCTGACCCCGAGTCAGTAGAACTTGATACAAATGTTTAATTAGTTGACAAGATTCGGACACTTTTTAAAGATTGCGTAACGCTTGCCTAGTCGACGTCTGCTCAGACATCCTATCAGAATTGATGTGAGAGTAGACTGTAGTAAGTGAAGACAACTCAGTTCACTCGACCACTGATTTGTTGGTGCCTATGAGGCAATTGTAATCTTTCGTTAAAAACTTTCTGCGTGTTAAAACTTGATCAACAACTTCAGTATATACCGATCCTTTTGCATTGAGTATTGCATTATTCTAAATTTAACATCCTACAACCTCATTTGTCTAGTTTTGCATAGCTACTTATTTTTGCATTATTCTCTTATCTCAAATTGCTTATATTCCACTTGTTATCAGTTTGATCATTTATTTGCATAACTCCTGAAGTTCATTGTGGCACTCACAAATAATTTGAACGATAAATTGTCAGTAGTGCATGACATGGAATATTTGCCAATATAGTTAATTTTTAGTGATTCACCGTTAATCATCTTATTTTGTAATATTTTATCATTGGGGAAAATTCAGGGTTATTCTGGTTCACAACAACCTCGTTCATCATCTTCATCATCATCTTATCTGTTATCATCAACGACATCATCAACCTCAAAGTTCATTACACCCAACACACATGGTTCTTCACCTTCGATAGCTGATCAAACTAATGCAACTGGTATTACCTCCACTTCTGTTACTACAACCATTACTACTACTACTACTACTACTACTACTACTACTACGTCGAACACATCTACGTCTGGTAATCAACTTATACACTCGGAAAAGAAATTGAAATTGAATTAGGTAAATCAAATATTTTAGTGCTATACATTGTGTTAATAGATTGTGATATAATCGATGTGAAGCAAAATTATTAATATTCCGTAATTGACATATTCATATTATTAGTGAATGACTGTTCCAACTATTCCTAGTGATTTAGTTCCATGTTATTAATTGTCGACGGATTCGTACAGTGCATTTCGACTGAGACTACAAAGTAATGATCGTATGGTTTAAATATGTATATGATTTACTGAAAAGGTCAGATGATAATATCTAGTGATAATATTTAGTAGCAAATTTATATTTAAAATGATTTGTCGAATAAATTTATTGATACACGAATAAAGGACCATCCAATATTATCTTTAAAGTTTTAAACTCTAGAGGTAAATCTACAGTATGTTTGATGTAATTTTTGCAGCATAATTTTTAGATGTATATATTTTCCAGTAGTTTGTTTGATTAGCATATGGTATCCATCACTGGTTAACCTAGATTGAAGGTACACTTGACATTTACGCAGCGCTTGGGCAACTTTACAATTAGTACAGAATTCTCTAGCAATCGACACTGATGATACTTCAAGGGAGCGAACCCAGGACTTTATAAATATTTTCGTGCCTATATTTCATTATGTCAACATCTCATTAGATTTTCCTTCTTTTTACTTTGTGCCAGTAAGTATTTGAGAAGATCGACAGTTTGATAACTGAGATGAATTATACATTGCTCTTCCTAAACCTTTTTTTAATCGTAATTAACCGATAAGCGATTTCCGTTATGAAACATTTCATTATAGATTATGTCGAATGCAATATTTAAATACAATCTGTTAGGACAATTCGTGCACATAATTTTTTAGTGTAGGTAATCCAAAAATGGAAAGGTAGATCGAAAGTTTGACGAGGCTTTCATTGTCGTATTTTGGAACTAATGTGTTTAGAATGTGATGTGAACAGAGTAATAAAGAAGCCGTGATGAACAACGGAAGCTATTTTTGATGACTTTATTTCACTCCATTCAAAGCCTGTAATTTACTAACATTTAGTTTTGTCACTAAGTCATTCATTAAACTATAAGCTTTAGTTTGGTGTATGGTACACTATCACACCCTTTCCTGTTCCAAAGCTATTGTGATTTAAGCGTAACCTTTTGTAACCTATTTTTCTACACTAATGCCTAGTTTGTACATAATTATATTCTTCTAACTGTTTGTGCATTGTGGTCATGTTAGTCATCTATTTATGCATAAATTCTCTTAAATTACTCAGAATCGGCAATCAGGATTAAATTGAGTAGTGTTCAAGTTGATTCGTTTTCTCCCTCTCTCTCTCTCTCGCGTGTCAACCAATCAGCTAATAGTCATCAATGTACACTTCTGGGGAATCCCATGCTAAGACGAAACAGAAGTCCAGTGCTTTTAAGTTTTTCAATGGTGATTTTACATTGATCAGTTTTCAATCTCAATAATTATGCTTAATTATATTACATTTTTAAGTGTTTACTATTCTATATGAATAATTGTCAATCATTGTTATTTTCATTTGTCTGTTTTTAAATCTTTTAACCCTATTTTACATTTAATTTTGTTAAAATTTAATTATTTCAACACTGTTGATAATAATAGTAATAAGTAGTTTTTATTATTACTATTGTATTCATTCATTTATCTCTCATATGATCGATAAGTTAATTCAGTTAGCCAAATGTATTCGTTTAGGGCTATTCTTATTTTAGTATTTTGTAATGATACAGATATTTTACTATTTTTTTCAGTTAGTAATTATTACAATAATTGTGTTTTTACTGGACAACTGACACACCATACAAATACTTAATATAAACATTAAAAAAAAAAATAGTGATCGAAATAGGGGAACTAATTAATTAACCATGTGTATTTGAAAAAAACAAACAAACAAACAACAACAACAACAACAACTGAAGAATCCTAAGAAAAAAATAAAGAAAAAATTCTTATCTATGAACACATGATTTCTATTATTTTGTTTTTTTCACGTCATATTTTCGTCTTATATCAAATTTATTAGAAATAGGAACTAGAAGTAGAAAAGTCAATATGTATTGATTTATATCAGTAAAGGGGTTGTGTAGATTATTAAGTTTTTGATTGAGATCATGAACCGATTGACATCAGACCACCGTTGGAAACCTGGATGCACTGGATGGCCGTTTCGTCCTATTATGGAACTCTTCAACAGTGTGCATCTATGATCCCACTCGCGTGATTCGAACCCATTACCTATCGGTCTCGCGTGCGAACGCTTAAAGTACTGGACCACTGAGCTGGGATTCAATAATGTTAGTGTCTAAAGTCAATTAATCCACGAAATTTCGCGTCCATCTTCCATTGTACTGAGGTAGATACCTGTCTCTACCCGACACGAAATGGCCGTCCATTGCTTTCAGGTTTCCAAAGGTGGTCTAACATCAATCGGTTCATGATCTGAATAAAAAAAATATTGATTTGTGTTTTTGATCATTTATTTGCATTATCTTCTTTGATATTATAATATTAAGTTTAAAAAAGTATTTAGTTTTAATGTACGTAAGCTCACAATAATTTGACAAAGTAACTCGATCATATATCTCCTTAATATTTCGGTTACATTTATATTACTAAAATTAGTTAGCTGAGCTGTATAATCTCAATATCGTTTGATTCCATAATATTCTTGTTAGAATAAAAACAACAACTTAATTTTATTTCATTTTCGCATGTTACTTCTCATAGGGGAGTATAGGTCAACCATCAGGTTTCTCCATGCAAGTCTGTTCTGGGCGATTCTTTCCAGTTGTTTGTAACTGCTATTTATCCTTTTCATATCTACTTCCGATTCCCGAAACATTGTGTTCTTTGATCGATTCACGATATCAAGATAACTGATGTAATGATTATTTAAGAATAATGATAATTAATATTTCGACAGAGAAGGTTTAACAACACTTCAGAAAATTAACATGAAATAATAAACATATAAGGTTTATGCAATACACAGTGTGTCAGTGATCAGTTTTAATATGTAAATAGAAAAGAAGAGATATGACTTGAACATAAATTAAAAACAAATAGTGATGAACTTTGTAAAAGGTTCCATTAAATTTTCTCTGAACAAAGAAAAATCAATTGTATTTTGGTATTTTTTTTAAATGTAAAGATCAAGGTTGTTCGATAGAATCTGTATGATTTCCAGCATTTATAAAAGTTGAGATCGAATCAAGATTCTCATCAAGATTCAAATTCCTTTGAATATTGTGATAAATTTTATCTGTGCATTATGAATACGACTGTATTTCAAAGTAATTCACAAACACTTAACATAAATTCTCTTATTGTGTTCACTCTATTCAATTTTATAACTGTTCAAAATAAAATTATAAATAACTTATCTAATTATGTATTGAAACAAAACTTACAAAGTACAATATTAATACAATTTATAATTTATAGAATATTTGTATCACTGTATTACATAACTGAAATTGTACACGAACGAAAACTACATTCATACTCATTATATACTTAGATTATGAGTTTAAAAAACAAAACTCTTCTGTTATTCTAATGTTATTCTAATCAACGTAAATTAATGTATCAGAAATGTTTCTGTGAAGATTGTAGTAATTTCAATAGATGAGATCATGAGTCAATTGAAGCTAGACCATCATGGAAAACCTGAAAGCATTGGATGGTTGTTACGTCCTATTGTGGAACTACTCAGCAGTGTGCTTCCACGATCCTGCCTTGCAGGATTCGAACACAGAACCTATCAGTCTCGTGCGCCACTAGACTGCTGAGCTGGCCGGCATCCAACGGTGTTACTGTCTAACTTCAACCAATCCACGAAATTGAGCGATACATCCACCATTGTCTTCAGTCGGTTACTATCTCACAACACACCCGGTTGAACTCCACTGGTCACTGCTTCTCACTAGAACTCCAGGAAAAACCTCTAGAAGTCAGTCACTAGTGAGCATGTGTTGATTAATATCAGAAGTGGGTTTTGTGGAGATTGTAGTAATTTCAATAGTTGAGATCATCGGTCAATAACTAATCATTATTTATATGAGTGTTATTTTTAATAAAAGAATTATTAAAACAGTATACATTTTACAACATGCTTTAAAACATATTTAAGCGTTAAGCTTTTGAAATTTACTATATGAATGTTTCTTATATGTTGAAAAATTTTTAACAAAATTTCTTCAAATATTTCATCGTGTAAACTATAGTTTCCTATAAAAAAAAAAGCGGAAAAACGAATGATCCAATCAACAGTGCATTCACTAATATGCATAAACAGATGAAAATGTTTACAACTAAAAGTGTGTTGTAGTATTATAAACAATAGAAAAATACTCTAATGTGTTTCTAGGTCAAGGTTATTGGTAGCACTTCATTGTGCACCTTTCATATTTGACATTTATTCAATGTATCAATAATATATATATATATATATATATATATATATATATATATATATATATATATAACAAGGATTACCTTTCATATTGTAAAATGTTTCTCTACTTATAGTACATAAGATGAAAAGAAAAAGAAAATACAATGAATGGTTTATTCAATGTTTCAGTTTACCTAGTGTTTCTTTTTCTTTTATTGTAAATGATTATTTCTTTACTTTTCTTTTTTCATACAATAATAAATGTTTTTGTTCTTACTAATTCATTTCATTTGAATCATTAATTTGTTAAGCAAACATTTCTTTTGTTGATTAAAAAAACAAATGTCTAAAGAGAAAGCCAATAGGGTAAAATAATAATTTCACAGTTGAATTCATAAATCGATGTAAGCTCGATCACCATTGGAAATCTGAAATTACTGAACAGCCGTTTTGTCTTTGTATAGGACTACTCAACAGTGTGAATCTACAGTTCCTCATGGGGGACTCGAATATAAGACTGTAAAGTTGCATTCGTTTGAGTATTTTTTTCAGTTGGATATTTATATAAAGTTAACAGGGAATAATGTACAAGTGACCATGAGAATTTCATTATGGGAAATTCACTTTATTCTAATAAGATAATATGCAAAAAGTAATATAATGATCGCATTTTTAATAAAAAGATCTTTAGTCTTGTATACGTTTATTTTGCAGGATACTTGATAAAATAAATATATCTAAATACATGAAATTTATCATTTTTTCTATTCTTAAGGATACATACTATTGCAGGTTAATGAAGCCTTATTGTTTTTCCCATTTGTTTCAATTTTTTAAGGAAAAATAAACCGATATTTTTTGTTTTAGTCACGAGCTTTGCCAAACTATTTTACCAATGCATATTATTCAACATAATAATAATATTAGTACAGGGATTGTAAAGGCCATTAGATTTTTGATTGAGATCATGGACCGATTGATGTTAGACCACCGTTGGAAACCTGGATGCACTGGATGGCCGTTTCGTCCTATTGTGGAACTCCTCAACAATGTTCATCCATGATCCTACACACGGGATTCGAAACCAGTACCTATCGGTGTCACGTGTGAACGCTTAACCTACTGGACGACTGAGCTGGGATTCAATGATGTTAGTGTCTAACAATTGGTTCATGATCTCAATCAAAAAGTATAATAATAATAATTGTCATAAATTTCGATCTACTTTTTTTTATTTTTTGAAAAAAAAATTTCATTTATATTTTCATAGAAAGTGGTGTATCCGAAGAAGATACAAAATTAGCTAAGAATAACAAAAATGCTGTTGATATTGGTATTTGATTATTGTCAATTATGGTGTAAAACATGTAAGAATTTAGTGTTAAATTTAGAAAAACATGTAACTGATGGTAATTAATAATGATTGATTTCATCTCTAATTTACAATATTTAATAATTAACTGGGTTTTTTTTATTATTAATGTTTCACTTTATATTTTTTTGTAAACTTTATTTATTCCTGTTTTTATTACTGTATACTTTACAGTCTTTATAGTATGAATTCAAATTATAAGAATTTTAGTCCTACAAATATTTATTTATGGTTGAAATAACTTAGTGGTAGCATATTTGATTGTACTAGTGGATGATGTATAGTTCCAAGTTATAGGTAAATCAATATTTCCTCGTAACCACACTCATATTCTGTTTTTAAAAATGCTAACTATCACGGAGAGTTCATTGAATTTCTTTGGTTACAGATGAAATCAACAAATAATGAATGATATGCTTTGTCATTTCTTTTAATAGAATCTACGAAATTATATTAGTAAGATCGGCTTAAAAAATATGATATTAGTTAGTACTCAATTATCAATCGTCATTATACACTTTCCGCTGGTTGTGCTCTAAAGATACTATATATATATATATATATATATATATATATATATATATATATATATATATATATATATATATGTATTTGAACAATAAATAGTTAAAATACTATTTATGACGCTATTGTTCTCTTGCAAAACAAATATCTCACAATACAAGTTGTAATTTTAGAATATTTCTAAAATTAAAGACCAAAGGTAATAATAGTATACAACGGAATCTAACATCTAATTAGAAAATGAAAGTTTATAGTTAGAATTATTTTGTTCATCTATTTTAAACTTTATTTGTATGACTAAGTGCTCTAGATTTGAATATAGTGAAGTACTATTGGGATAATTTTATGATATTGGCAATATTATAATTTATGGATGAACAAATCAGATTTACGATAATAGGTGTTGAATTTTTGCATGAAATTAAATCATTCATTTGTCTACATAGAGTTTTAGCATTATAGCTGACGTTAGTTCGCGATGAATACTCTAACTATCAAGTGTAAATATTAATCCTAATTCCTCACACTATTTTATAATCTTCATTTAAGTGTAATATATAGGTGGACATTCTCAAGGTCTTTTTAGCGTCGCACAAAGGTCATCCATAAATTATAGTCTCAACCAAGAATGTTTATTGATGAGCTTCTCAATGTCAAGAAAATAAAGTTATTCTTTTCAAAAGACTAGATAGAATTAACTTGCAGTTTGTTGATTATGGACCATTAAACGCTATATACTAGTTGAATGAATGGTTATATTGCTTTTATTCAATTGACATTTGATATCTAAGAAGGTATACATTATATAAATGATCATAATTAAACATGATCAGACTAATATGTAGATACAATTAGTGCTTTTTTATAATCTACATAAACTTCAGGAGGTTTACTTATTTCTTTTGACGTTTATGTAATAGATGTATGTTACAAAATTAACAGCCATTCGCTATATCATACTTGAATGAAATTCATCATTTCTTTTAGGTTTTCGGCATGTTTACTAAACGTTTAATTGACTCTTTTTAAAAATATAAAATTAAGCTCTCATATCTTAATGATTGTGCTCTGTCATGATATATCTCTCACTGAATCAAGCTATCAAGCTATACACAGTAACTTAGGACGAAAAAGATTTGAGTTAGGTCCTGTTGGCATGATAACAGACCATAAGAAAGCAAACAAAGTATTCAGCTTGTTATATATTAATAGTGTTTCACATCAATTTTGAAATTAGAGAATGATTTTCTAAGTAAAAAATTTTAAAAACTATTTTCTATTATCGTTTGATTCGTTTAAACAATTGAACGAGTTGTCTTCATGTTTACTCACAATTAAAGTATAAAGTTAGTTACAATTGATTAAACAATATGTAATCACCTATACTTTATTATTAGTTGAATTCATCAATCAATCTAAACTACACCATTATTGTAAATCTAAAATCACTGGATGAATATTTCGTCGTAGTATGAAACTTCTCAAAAGTCCTTATCCACGATATTATTCAGAAAGCTTACATTATTAACTACATTTTAATCGATTAATCATCTTAATTTTATTTATTTCAAAACTTGTAAAATTACTTATTCAATAATAAATCAAATGGGATACTGTAAATGTCATTTAATAGTTTCTTGTTTCTATCGATTGATCTTTGTATAAATTACGAATTACTATTTAACATTTTATGCATCTTGTTTTTTCTGCAAACAATGAATTTCATTGAAAATGAAAATAACAATCATCATCATATTTGTCAATAAAAATGGATAACCAAATATCTTTTACATAACATCAAAAGGAATTTTGTGGATTTCGATAGTTGAGATCATGAGTCAATTGGATCTAGACCAACATGAAATACCTAGAAGCACTGGACGGCCGTTTTGTGGATGCGCACTACTGAGGAGTCCCACAATAGGACGAAACAGCATTCCAGTGCTTCCACGTTTTCCATTGTAGTCTAGCTTCAATTGACTCATGATATCAACTATTGAAATATTTTACGTAAATTGAAAAGTTAATTATTGTTTTGTTTTATACTTTATTGTTCATTTAACACTTTATGATATGGAAATGAGATGTTTTCATAATTTCATGTCAAAAAAAATCTTTGTTTGATGTCGATCATAACATATTTAAAATATTTGAGCAAACATTATTCTAGATAGAAGTGAACTCATCATATTCAATTCTCATAGACAGCTTAATATTATTAAGTTCCATATATGTTGCCAAATTCAAATAATAATCATAAAAATATAAATAAATTCACCTTTTAATTACTGAAATATTTCATTGTAACAGTAAGTAAAATCCAGTTCTGTCATATTAAAGTAAAGTTTAATTATTCCGCATAACAATTAATGATAAATAAGGTTGTTTAAGATTTTGTAACTGAATTCGAATATAACAAAAGGAGTTAGATTGATTATCAAGAGAATCTGCATAAATTTATCATTCGAAATCATATTATTAACTTCAATTTAACACTGAAGTCCATGCTGATCGTCCCGTTAGTTATATAAATGATTTCTTATTTTACATATTTTATTATGAGATGTAATATATTCGTTAGTGACTAACTGATTGATGAACAGGTAAATGAACTAAACAGTAGAGAATACTGGAGTGCTCATCCACAATCCCGCATGCGGGCTTCAAACCCGGCACTTTCGGTCTCGTGCACGAACGCTAAACCCCTGTTCATTGAATCGGTATTCAACGGTGTTAATGTCTTACTTCAACCAATCCACGATGTCACATGCCCATCTTTCATTGTCTTCGGTTGGTAACTGCCTCACACCTAACACAGTTGAACTTCACTGGTCGGACGACATCGTGGATTGATTGAAGTTAGACATTGATATCATTGGATGTGGGTCCAGTGGTCTAGTGGTCAAGTGTTATCGCGCGAGACCAAAGATGTTGGGTTCGAACCCCGCGTGCGTGATTGTGGTTGTGCACTACTGAGGAATCATATACTAGGGGGTACTGGCCGTCTAATGCTTCTAGGTTTTCAATAGTGGTCTAAAGTTGATCGCTTCATGATTTCAATAACATTCAACAATCTCCACAACTCCAAACTGAAAATATTGAAAAGTAATTGGATGAAATCGTTGATGGTTTAGTGAGTTCTTACTTATGATAGCCAGTAGAGTTAACTTATCCAAACACTGATATGGATTTATACCTTGAAAGATTGTAGTCACTAGTTAGTCAACTGAACAATGACAAAAATCAATGAAGCTGATGCATACAAGTTTGAATTTATGAATTTAGATTAACTTATCAAATGATACATTGATTACTGAAAACTCATAACTTCTCAGCTCTCTCAGGTTTAATGATTTATTTGCGCAGAACTGACGTTGAAGTTGTTAACTTAAACAAAAACAATTATGTATGGTGAGTTTATTGAAAGTATTTCTTAATAACCAAAGTAGTAGCTCTTAAAAATCATAATTTTCTATAAGTTTTTTCATATTAATAATTAAATTAATTTGACTTTATTTCAGAATGGTGCTCCATATAAAAAGCAAACACTCAATTTATGTCGAATGGTAAGTTTTGGAAATGATTTATTACTATTTGTATAAAATATTTTCTGTAATGATAATGTTGAACTCTCTAAGGTAATTGGTTTCATTTAATAGACTTTTGTAATATTCTGGGAAGTATCATCAGTACTCACTTCATGGCAAGAATGTAGCGTAATTGTAATAAAATATAATATTAGTCTGAAGGGTAATCTTTATTACATAGTACATGTTTTCGTCGTGAAAATTAGGTGAATTCTTTTGAATTCATGATTTTGAATTTCACTTTCCATCGGAGATGACCTTATATATTTATATAATTGGATCGATTTAAGTTAAACCACTATGGAAAACCTGGAAGCAATAGACGGCTGTTTCGTTTCAGTATGGGGCTACTCATTAGTGCGCATTCACGATTCCACAGGCGCGGTTCGAACGCAATACCTTTTGTCTGCCACACAAACACTTGACCTTTACATCATTGAGCCAGCATCCAACAGTGCTAATGTCCAACTTCAACCAATCCACAATTCATGAATTCAAGTATAAAATTACTACCATTTCCACAAACTCTCATCCTGATATAGATAGATCGTAAGCGTTTTATATGGACATAATGTATGTACAGTATTTTTAGTTTCAAATAGTTTTTTTAATATAAATAAAATCAACGTATTGATAATGAAAAAAAGGAAAAAAGCTATTTAATATTTAATTTAGCTTCCATATCGTTTCAAAAGTTTTTAAAATATTTAAAAATTTATAAAGTTCTAAAGTGATTTCAATAGTTGAAATCATGAGTCAATTGAAGCTAAACCATCATGGAAAACATGGAAGCACTGGACGGCCGTTTCGTTCCAGTATGGGACTTCTCAGCAGTGCCCATCCACGACCCCGCCTGGTGAGATTCGAACCCAGGACCTGTGAGTCTCGAGCGTGAGCGTTTAACCACTAGACCACTGAGTCGGCCAGCATCCAACGGTGTTACTCTCTAACTTCGACCAGTTCATCTGAGGAGTCTCATTTTAGGACGAAACGGTCGTCCAGTGCTTCCAGGTTTTTCATAGTAGTCTAGCATCAACTGATTCATGATTCCGACTATTGAAATTTCTAAAACCTCCATAAAACCTCTTCTGAAAATCTTAAAGGTAGATCATACAGTGGTTTCATCATTGTCTGTGTTGGGGTGATCCATAAAACATCTCACAAAAAAATAAGAAATGCTCATAAAACACTAAGAAACATTTCATCTAATCAACGTTCATTTGAAGTTTTAGCCGGAATCATGAAGAAAATGAAAAATCACATGTAGAGTTCCTAATTGGCTGATTACTATACTGCTACTGTGTTTAGTAGCATTCCAGAATCTTCGGGAAACCCAACGACATCTAAAATACTGTAAAAACCCAATATTTTCTGCACTAAAACGAACCTTTGGACTAAAGTGCTTCTCGCATATTTTGCGCCTTTTCTCTCGTGTTCAGATCGCTGTGTAGGTCTAGCTTGGGGGTTGCGAGAATAGCTTAGGAACCGAATATAGCGTTCAACGAGCAAAACTTATCAGTCCGGAGATGATCAACTAATGGGATTGGATAATTCATGTTTTAGTATTATAGAAAACAGAATTGTAATTAAAGTTAAAATTTGATCCTTTTAATAATATCAGAATGGGTTTTGTGGAGATTTTAGAAATTTTCACAGATTGAACTCTTGAGTCAGTTGAAGCTAGACCACCATTGAAAACCTGGAAGCACGGGACGGCCGTTTCGTCCTAGTATGGGACTCCTCAGCAGTGCGCATCCACGATCCCGCACCACGCGGGGCTCGAACCCAAGACCTACTGGCTTCGCGCGCGAGCA